GCTAATTTAATTTATAAATACAGGTGCATCTTCACCTTTACTGTACTTTTACTTTTAAGACTTTTTATGTCTGACTAGCTTCCGCCCATAGGGTATTGCTAGTAAGTAATTGTCAAAAGGTGTTTTTTTTTTGGAATAAAGTTTGTTTAAAAGATTGTCAGTTCTTTTTAAAAAACAAAAGTTCCAAGAAGAAACCAAAACTAGAGGACACTTTCAATTTTATAGTCTATAGTATTCGTATTTATGGATCTGTACCTGTTACCTATAACAGCACGGTAGCAGGTACACGGGAGTCAGGTAAACTAGGCGCAGTTGGTATATCAGCACTGCCGCACTTAGACATAATCGTCACTGACGAATGCATTTTGCTTGTCCGCTACAACCACAATCTTTGCTTACACTTAAATTATAACAATCTCCGCTATAACTGAGTCAGCTAGTTCTGAAAATAATTTTTAATAAATATTTGTCTATGGCCTGCATTTATACCATGAAGGACTTGTAAATAAACTGTAAACTGTTTTGTTATTGTAATTAAATACCTATATCTTTTATAATCCTCTTCATCTTTGTCCGAGTCTGACAATTGATTTGGACAAGCCTTGTTGCCCAAGAGACTCAAATAAGTAAGATTGGGCACACTTTTTAATATTTTTTCAACGAGCAGTTCAACATCCGTTATCTGAAATGATTACAGTGTAACTTAAAATTTAATATCACCTCGATATTGACTAAAAGTTCATTCTCATTTTTTTTTCCATTATATGTTACTTCAAATTGATGAGAAAAATTTTTGTTGATGCTGTCACACGTTCGCCGCGACCACTGACTTTATACACCAATGCTTTGATCACTAAGCTACGAGAGATCCAGGGTTCGATTCCCGACGAGGGTGTGAGAGCGCAACAAACATTTTTCTCATTTATTGAAGGTAATTTATAGTGGAAATAAATTGAGAATGAATTTTCAAATTAATATTTAATTTTAATCACTAGGAATTTCAATATGTTTCAAATTGACGGAAAGTTTCAGTTTCGTAGAGTTCAATGAAATAGACGGATTAAACGGAACAGCGATGTTAAGGTGAAAAGTTGAACAATAGTTTACATTTTTAGGGAAATTGTAAATATTTGTACTATTACTCACTTCGTTTTTATTCAGTGATAATGTATGTAAGTGTTTCAAAGGTGGTAAAACTAAATTATCAGAGAGTTGATTATTATCCAAAATCAACTCATGAAGCGAAGGAAAAAACTCGAGGCCTCTTAACGTTTGAAGTTCGTTAAAGCTTAGATCCAAACTGTTAACCTTAGGACCGTACATTTTAATGAGGACGTCAGGTATTTTATAACATTTTTGACCAGTGTAGCATAACTGAAAACAAAAATAAATTTATCGAATCATACAAGATATGTTTTAAATTTGCTGTACTATAGAAATATTGCTTTAATTATTTAAATCAAAAATGAAACAGTAATGTGATAAATGGTATTAAAATTTAAACCTGCAAAATTACCGCAAAGTAAAGGCGATCTATAGTTATGATATCTGTTTTTCTTTTGATTTATTTTTTAACTACGTCTATAAGCGTCTGTCGTTTGTGTTCTTGCCGCCGAAGCACAACACTGCGAACTGCATAGCATTCAAAACAGCCTTCGTTCCTCGTAGACACGATCATTCATTTTCTATCTATTTTGGTTTTTGAAAAAATCTAAAAAAAAAAAAAAAAAAAGAAGATATTTTTTTCTCAAAAACAGCTTAATTGATTTGAATGAAATTTGTAGACGTTATAAAGATATGTAATATGTTATAAAAAAAACAGTTTTTATTGTTTTTGAATATGCCTTACCTGTTTGAACGATTTAAAGATTTGAGAGGTTATTCTACATTGGGAATGACATAAAAAAAAGTTTATTTCAAAATTGTTCTAGAACGTTATCATAAAGAAAAAAAATAATTTCGGTAAAAAATGCCTGTTTTTAATGGTTATTATAAAGATTATGAGCTGTTATTTTTTCCGAGTATAGCCCTTATATACCTTCATAACGTGTATAAATTTCAATTAAATCGATTGAGCCGTTTTTGAGAAAAAAATTATTTTC